TTACCGTTGGTGTACCCCAAGGCTCTGTCCTTGGGTCCCTCCTTTTCTCTCTCTACACCTCCTCCCTGGGCCAATTGATAACCTCCCATGGCTTCCAATACCACCTGTATGCTGATGACACCCAGATCTATCTCTCCACTCCCCAGCTCAACCCCTTAATCTCCTCATGTATAACAAATCTACTAAGCAACATATCAGCATGGTGGATGTCACACCACTACCTTAAACTCAATCTTTCCAAAACCGAGCTTGTAATATTTCCTCCACTGCATTCCTTTTCCTTCTGTACTGAAATGTATTGTAATTGTACTGTCTCCCTTATACTGTAAAGCGCTGGGCAAACTGTTGGTGCTATATAAATCCTGTATACAGTGGGGATCGAAAGTTTGGGCACCCCAGCTAAAAATTTGTATTAATGTGCATAAAGAAGCCAAGGAAAGATGGAAAAATCTCCAAAAGGCATCAAATTACAGATTAGACATTCTTATAATATGTCAACAAAAGTTAGATTTTATTTCCATCATTTACACTTTCAAAATAACAGAAAACAAAAAAATGGCGTCTGCAAAAGTTTGGGCACCCTGCAGAATTTATAGCATGCACTGCCCCCTTTGCAAAGCTGAGACCTGCCAGTGTCATGGATTGTTCTCAATCATCGTCTGGGAAGACCAGGTGATGTCAATCTCAAAGGTTTTAAATGCCCAGACTCATCTGACCTTGCCCCAACAATCAGCACCATGGGTTCTTCTAAGCAGTTGTCTAGAAAACTGAAACTGAAAATAGTTGACGCTCACAAAGCTGGAGAAGGCTATAAGAAGATAGCAAAGCGTTTTCAGATGTCAATATCCTCTGTTCGGAATGTAATTAAGAAATGGCAGTCATCAGAACAGTGGAAGTTAAAGCAAGATCTGGAAGACCAAGAAAAATATCAGACAGAACAGCTCGCAGGATTGTGAGAAAAACAATTCAAAACCCACGTTTGACTGCACGATCCCTCCAGATAGATCTGGCAGACACTGGAGTTGTGGTACACTATTCCACTATAAAGAGATACTTGTACAAATATGGTCTTCATGGAAGAGTCATCAGAAGAAAACCTCTTCTACGTCCTCACCACAAAAAATCATCGTTTGAACTTTGCAAATGAACATATAGACAAGCCTGATGCATTTTGAAAACAAGTTCTGTGGACCAATGAGGTTAAAATTGAACTTTTTGGCCGGAATGAGCAAAGGTACATTTGGAGAAGAAGGGGCACAGAATTTAATGAAAAGAACCTCTGTCCAACTGTTAAGCATGGGGTTGGATCAATCATGCTTTGGGGTTGTGTTGCAGCCAGTGGCACAGGGAACATCTCACGAGTAGAAGGAAAAATGGATTCAATAAAATTTCAGCAAATTTTGGATGGTAACTTGATGCCATCTGTGAAAAAGCTGAAGTTAAAGAGAGGATGGCTTCTACAAATGGATAATGATCCTAAACACACCTCGAAATCCACGGGGGATTACATCAAGAGGCGTAAACTGAAGGTTTTGCCATGGCCTTCACAATCTCCTGACCTCAACATAATTGAAAATCTATGGATAGACCTTAAAAGAGCAGTGCGTGACAGACAGCCCAGAAATCTCAAAGAACTGGAAGACTTTTGTAAGGAAGAATGGGCAAAGATACCTCAAACAAGAATTGAAAGACTCTTGGCTGGCTACAAAAAAAGCGTTTACAAGCTGTGATACTTGCCAAAGGGGGCAGTACAAGATATTAACTCTGCAGGGTGCCCAAACCTTTGCAGACGCCATCTTTTTGTTTTCTGTTATTTTGAAAGTGTAAATGATGGAAATAAAATCTAAACTTTTGTTGACATATTATAAGAATGTCTAATCTGTAATTTGATGCCTTTTGGAGATTTTTCCATCTTTCCTTGGCTTCTTTATGCACATTAATACAAATTTTTAGCTGGGGTGCCCAAACTTTCGATCCCCACTGTAATAATAATAAGAAATTAATTTAAGAAATTTCTCGTGGGTATCCAAAACAATGCTGGAAAGCTTTTCATCAATAAGAAAAAAGTGTAGACGGCGGCAAACTTCTGTAAAGGATATAAACTACTATTTCCAAGCTTTTGCTATGGTTTGTTTTGCTGCCAGTAGTACATAAGTAGCCAACTTAAATTGACATTTGGTGAGACCTGGGGGTATCAGATGTAGAAGGACATGACAAGAGTCCCTTGGGAAAGGGCAGGCTAATAATGAGTGTAGGAGTTTAAGGACCTTTGTCCAGTACAGTATCCTCGAAAACAGGTGCCGGGGGCAGATGGGTGAAGGTGCGCCAGACGGGACGGGACCAGGTACCACCTTGTGACAGTTTTAACTTCCCTGGCGGTATTCCCGAGTGTAGCTCGGGGTAACTTTCAGTACCAAAAGCGGTAACCCCTGAGCTACACTCGGAATTACACTGCAGCGTTGCTCAGGGATTCCCTCAATCACTTACCATGTCCTTCGCTCCCGCGATGTCCCATCTGCAGCGTCCCCGGCCATCTCCTCCGGACGATGGCGGCATCCGTCTTCCAGTCCCTCCGAGCATTGGGACATACGGGGGACGGAACTGGCGGGAAATTAAAAAATTTTAAAAGTGACATTCACTCAATACACTAAAATCACATAGTAGAACATTACTGTATCAAACCATTTCACATACATTTTGTCCCGAGTGCTTTGTCCTGTGCCTGCCTGCATTTTTACTGTTCTTTCTGCCTGGAAACTGAGAAAAGTCCATGCCGTCCAAAAAGCGTCCCTTTAGGTCAAAAGCGATTTTAGACCAGCTAGAGAACAGCTAGTGAATTAGAACCACTTGCAGAATTGAGTGATGATTTGTGGTGAAATTCGTCATCAGCGAACTTGGCGCTCTATTTCAAATTTCAGTGTTTTTGGTTTGATTACATTATTGAATTAAATTTATTATTATATTATTTTTTATCATTATATCATCGTTTATGATTGTTTCAAATTTTATCATACCCGGGATGTTTATTAGACTCTTGTTTGGACAGATTTCAGTTATTCCTAAGAATTACAGGCCTACAATAAAAAAACTACATATTTCCATGCAAAAAAATATACCGCTTTGAGCACAGAAATATTGACATAATCAGACCGCTAGGGAGGTTAAAGGCCAATTCAATAGTAAGAATATTGATGGAGCAGGAGGTCAAGGTTGTTCATATTTGTGAAGAGCAACCCCTATCTTTGGTGCTATGAAGATGCTCTTTCCCACCTGGAAACGTAAGTGTGTTTGTTAGGATTTTGAAGGGTGTTTTAATCGGGAGTAAAGGAAAAATATATGTATGGGGGAAAACGGTGTCCGGTGACAAATATGTTTGAACAGGGACAGTTGGGTCGTCGGTTCTTTGTCAAAAAGCACTTTAGTCAACCAATGTTTGATTTGTTGGAATCAGAAGAGTTCAGTGTTAGGGGCTTGGTATTTGTCTCTTATTTCTGCCCAGGTGTAGATAGGCCGACCAGTGAGGAATGAGCGGACACAATGAAAGTTGTGGGAAACCCACCAATGAAAGGCACTAGGGGACTCAAGGCCTGGAGAGAGAACAGAGGGTTGCCCTAAGGGGGGAGAAGTCGTAGATGAGGAGAGATTAGTCCACTGGAATATTTGGCGGAGTCCCATATCTGTAATGAATGGGCCATTAAGCAATCATACAACTGTCATTGGTTATATCACATCTCCGCTACATTATGTGAAGTGACTTTTTGTAAACACTACACAGCGCATTTTGGGGTCAGTAGACTTCAAGGGACACCTGGCAGAAACGCATGTAGTGCATTTTTTTGATGCGTTTTTTTTTTTTTGACAATAGGAAAATATTAACTTTGATGTGATTTGGATGGGTGCCACTTTTTTTTTTTTTTCGAATAGGAAAGTATGACAGTTCTGTTCATGTAGTGTGAGTCTGATGCGACTTTACACTCTACTAGCATCAAAGTTGCATCCAAGTCACACCCATCCAAGGAAGCATCAATATCGCAGCCAAGTCGTACCCATCCAAAGTCGCATCAAAGTTGCATTCAAGTCACACCCGTCCAAGAACGCATCAATTTCGCAGCCAAGTCGTACCCATCCAAAGTCACATCAAAGTTGCATCCAAGTCACAGCCGTCCAAGGACGCATCAATGTCGCAGCCAAGTCGCACCCATCCAAAGTCACATCAAAGTCAATACTTACCTATTGGCAGAAAAAAAAACTCAATGAAAACGCAGATAAAACGTGTTCAAAAACCGCAAAACGCACTGGAAAAACACATAAATTGCAACACGCAATAAATCAAATAAATTGATATGAACAGGAAAAATATTCCAAAAATCCACATTGCAGACGTACTTATAACGCAGCAAATGGGATGGACATGGATGACCCGCTCAGGCCCAGTGGAGGGAACCCATGTCACCTTTTCCAGGGCATGGTAATAGGACAAAGGTCGGTACATCAACCCCCAGAAATGTGACGTCCCGGTGTTGCACCGGCTCCCCCATTTGTCACATTATAGAAACATTCCCGTAAACTGTGCCTGATCCCGGAACAGTAAATATTAGCGCTGGTTGGCTGCCGCAGACGCCAATATCTTAAACTGACCAATCAGATTCCACCTTTCCTTAGATCTCCGTCTATAGCCTCTCCCCGCATTCTGCAGGAAGCCCGGCGATATCCTCTTCCTGCAACATTGTAAGCACATGTGGCATGTACCAACTCCCGGAGGGGGCGGGGCTATACTTTGATAGTGGGAAATAGTACAGGATGATAGGTACAGTCCGCCCAGCTATTGATCAGAGTACCACACACGGATGAGTCTATCACTCCCTCACTGGTCTGTATATATTGTGTCCTCCTACACAGCGGAGTAGGTTTAGAGCTGACACCCCCTCCCCTCTTCCCGGTGATGGACTGATCCGGAGGGCGCCAAGTTTAGCCTGCCTGTCTCTTTGCGGTGTGTCGGGATGATGTCCAGGAAGAAGAAGGTCGGGGATGTGCTGAGCGATCAGTGGGTGCTCCTAGCTCCAGGTACTGGCACCTCCAGGCTCTGTAGCCTCATCACCCAGCACAGGGTCCTGGATACAGAAGGGGGCCAGGGGCACGTGACTGCTGAGTAGAAACTATGAGGGGGATTTATCATGGTAGCCAATCAGCTTCCAGAATGTGGTGCGAGAAAGGCACACTGTATGGGCACACTGCCCTTGTTTGTTGTGATTGGCTGCCATTAATTGGTAATGGAACCCCCAGTGCATCTAACAAAGGCAGAGCGTGTGTGGTCACCGGACCGCACGTTATCATGTAGTTTGGTACAGCGCAATTTTTAAAAGTTGTTCCTGAACAGGCTGTAAAAAATGGAATGTGTGCGTGTGCGCAAATGTGCATGTTTCTGTGAGAACTGGACCAAAAACTGGGCAATAAACTTTTTTTTTTTTTTCATTTTGAATACAATAAAGAAGGGTTATACCTGCTGTCAGGTTTTTTCCCACCTGTGTCCCATTGCGGTGATTTCCCATCACTAACTGTCCCATCGCCAAAACAGGAAGTGAGGAAATCCCTGCAATTTAAAGAGGAGCTCCAGTCCAACCCCCCCTCCCAAAAAAAAAAAATAAATTAAACAAATCCTGTAGCTGCTGACTTTTAACACTTGCCTACTGGCCTCTTATATCCCCTTCCTTACCAGGCCAGCTTTCAGCGCTGTCACACTTTGACCATTGCGCAGTCATGCAACGTTGTACCCATATGACATTTTTATCATTTGTTTTCTCACAAATAGTTTTCTTTTGGTGGTATTTACTTGCTGCTGGGTTTTTTATTTTTTAGAAACAAAAAAAGAGCACAAATTTTGCAAAGAGATAATTTTTCTCCTTCACTGATGTGTATTGATGAGGCAGCACTGTTGAGCTGGCACTGACTGGTACTGCTGGGTGGCACGGGTGGGTGGCACTGCTGGGCACTGATCATCAGGGCCCTGATGATTGGTGCCTATCCCTCATCTGACACACTGACAGCCGAGAATCGGCAATTGCATTTCCAGGTGATCAGCGTGTCATTGGACACGGCTGATCTAGTGGTAAAAGGCCGCTGTGATTGGCCTTTTACCACCTCATGTGATCAGCTGTGTACGTAGGACACAGCGATCACGGAGATCGCTGGGTGACCGCCCCTGGGGGCACGCAGGAGAGCACGTTCTAGGAGGACGTCATATGTCGTCCACCCAGAACTGGCTTCCACAGTGCTGCTGTCATTTGGCTATTTGCAGTAGGCAAGAGGTTAATATAAGGACACTTACCTATCCAGCAGGGATTTACCGATACTAGTTCCAATACTATGCTTTGCACAAGTACTTGTGCAATGCCCCAGTTCCTTTATGGTGCGATCTGAGCCCATACAAAATGAATGTGGTGCCTTTCTTGTCTGAATCATATGCGGTTTTCCTGCAGGTGTGCAATTAGAGCCATTCATTTTGTGTGGCTCGCACCCACAGGGAATCCTCATGGGAATCGCAGTGCATTTATTTTATAAGGGCTCAAATCGCACCACAAAGGTATTGGTAATACGTATTGGCGAGTCGTTGAGCACAAGTTTTGGTGCTCAAACTCGCCGATTTAAAAAAAAAAAAAAAAAAAAAAAAAAAAAACGGTATCTGTGCAACCCTACTGTCCAGGGATCCAGGGATGTCCTCAACTGAGCCAATTTTTTAATCGGCTTCAGGTCCAGGTGCCGGGATCTTGGGTAAGGCCGGCCATACATGGGTCGATTTTCGAACAATTGTTTGTTTGAAAATCGGACCAAAGAATATTCGGTCAATTTTCGCTCTGTTAGTGGGGCAATGGCACCTGCCGATTTTTGTAGTTCCTCCCCATTTCCTTTATCGGGCATTCTGGAAAATTCATGAAAAACGACCGATTTTCGAAACTATTGGTGGCACCATCGGATTACAGAACGAACAAATCGTTCGGAACTCGCCCCCTGTATGGCCTGCTTAAGGGAAACTGGAAGTAAAGGCTTTCAGCTTTACTACTGTGCATATGCTCTGCACATTGTAAATGGGCTAGCAGTCTTCTGGGATCTGTGATGTGTCCTAGAAGGCTGCGGGGGGAGGAGCAAGAGCCGAACTTCGGTGTCCTGACCAGAACCAGGTACTCCCTCCCCCCCCCCAAAAACATGTCAAATGTGGCAGCGGGGAGGGGGGGGTTAAGCAAACAGTACTTCTCCTTTTGGGCGAAGCTCTGCTCCCCCCAGGTCACCAGAGCTAGTGTCCCCATTGGAAGATTTCATCTCTATTACTTTTCTGGGGACAACCCAAAACTTGGGATTTTTTCTTTTACTTTCAATGATAATGGTGAACAGGACAAACAGAGAGGGGGAATCTCCCTAACTGGGGTACAGACTGCAATAAAAACAAAAATAAAAAAAAGTTTTGCCTTGAGTTATACTTAAAGTGAACAAGCTGAAGCTGGTTGGTTACTCCCGTGCTGAGCTGCATTTTGCTGTGTGTTCGGTCACATCGGAGTTTCTTGCAGGTAGCCCATAGAAGTGGATGCAGACACAGTAGCCACACGGACACAGAATTTGACATGTGGGTGTATGGTTCAAAACGCAGACACCGAAACACCCCCCCTCCCCCCACAGCAGATTTTGGCAGCCGCTGTGTCTGCATCCATTTCCATGGGTTGCTTTTGCTTACATACACACAGCAAAATGCAGCTCAGTGCCTGTCTGACCCCTAGGTTCACATTTTTGTATGTGTGGTTGATGCGTTTTGGGTTTTTTTTTTTAGATGATTTTTGTGTGTTTTTGATGTGCTTTCAGGCTTCATGTATTTTTTTTTTTTTTTTGGTTTGAAGAGGCTGCATTTCTGATGAACCTCCATTGAAGTGTATGGAGCCAAAAACACGCTGTCCTGGGCGTATAAAAAACAAACAAACTAAAAACCTGCATAGATGTAAACAGGACCCATAGGAGCTAATGTTAACTAGGTTATAGGGCCTTTTTGCATTTCAGCAAAAAGCACAAAAAAAAATGTACAGGTGTGAACCTAGCCTTAACCACACACTGTAGTTTACTGCTACAGTGCGTGCCGGCTGGGCAAAATCATGTGTATATGTACACCATTTTGCTTTTCCAGGTAGGGGGCATGCACGCACCTGCCTGTCTACCCGTGCTGTCATTGGCTCCCTGACATGCTGATCGGCATGCCATGGACAGTGATTCATGGCCAAGACCAGCCGATCATCGAAGCTAGTGACAGGACAGAGATATGTGTTGGTAAACAACACAGATCTCTACTGAAGCGGGGACATGCTCGTTTTGTCTTCCTGCAAAGCAGGGAATCAAAAACTATTGCATCCCCTAATAAAACAGTACACTTAAAATATAGTTAGGCACACAGTTAACCCTTTGCCCCAAATGTTAACCCCTTCCTACCCTGTGTCAGTACAGTGTCAGTGGATTTTATTAGCACTGATTACTGCATTAGTGTCACTGGGGATGCATTTGGAATCTATTGCTGTGAACCTACATCATGTTTTCAAAGGAGCTATGCATGCAAGTGAAACAGCCATTGTAAGGCTTCAAAAATGAAACAACTCCATCAGAGAGATGGCAGTATCATTAGGAGTGGCCAAAAGTTTGGTACATTCTGAGGAAAGAAGAATGCACTGATGAGCTCAGCAACTTAAAAAGGCATGGATGTCCACGGAAGACAACAGTGGTGTATGATCACAGGATCATCACAGGATGGTAAAGAAAAACCCATTCCCAACATCCAGACAAGTGAAGGACACTCAATACAATCAAGAGAAGACTTCATGAGAGCAAATACAGAGGGTTCCCACAAGGTGCAAACCATTCATAAGCCTGAAGAATGGAGAAGCCAGATTTGACTTTGCCAAGCACATCTAAAAAAGCCAGACCATGAAACTAAGATTAATCTGTACCAGAATGATGGGAAGAAAAAAGTGTGGAGAAGACTTGGAACAGCTCATGATCCAAAGCACACAACGTTATCTGTAAAACATGGTGGAGGCAGTGTGATGGCATGGGCATGCATGGCTTCCAGTGGCAGAGGGTCATTGGTGTTTATTGACGATGTGACAGAAGCAGCCGGATGAATTCTGCAGTGTTTAGAGATCTGCTGTCAGCCTAGATTCAGCCAAATGCAGCAAAGTTGATTGGACGTCATTTCACAGTACAGATGGACATTGATCCAAAACACACTGCAAAAGTAACCCAGGAGCTTTTGAAGGAAAATAATTGAAATATTCTGCAATGCCCGAGTCAATCGCCTGATCTCAACCCAATTGAGCATGCATTTCACTTGCTGAAGTCAAAATTAAAGAACAACTGAAGACAGCTGCAGTTAGAGCCTGGCAAAGCATCAGAAAGGAGGAAACCCTGTCTTTGGTAATGGGTTCCAGACTTCAGGCAGTCATTGCCAGTAAAGGATTCTCAATAAAATATTAACAATGCACATTGTATTTATTATATTAATTTGTCCAATTACATTTGAGTCCCTGAAAATTGAGGGACTGTATATAAAAATGGTTGCAGTTCCTAAAATGTGTACTTGATCTTTATGTTCAACCACTTGAATTAAGTCTGCACTTTAAATTCATTTGGATAGTTTTGTTTGAACTTCTTCCGTGGGCATACAGAGCCAAAAGTATGAAAATTGTTCCTGTGTCCAAATATATATGGACCTAACTGTATGACTTTAAAGTGATACTAAAGGTTCACGTTTTTTGTTCTAAAATAATAAACATGTTATACTTATGTGCACTGCAATGGTATTGCACAAAGCCACCCTGAACCTCCTCTTCTGGATTCCCCCATTACCAGCACTGTCCACTCAGCCTCTTTGTGTGCTCTCATAACAAGCCGCTTGTTATGGCGGCACACATGCGGGCACACTCCCGAACTCGTCTGTGTGCTTCCATAGAGGCACACACGTGTGCTTCTCAGCCTTGCTCACTCCTCACAGGATTTGATTGAAAACAGCAGGGGCAAATGGCTCCCATTGCTGCCTC